GTCCTTCAGATTGCTTCTTACTGGCTAGTTCAACCTTGGTTTCCTCATCTCATTCAACTCCAAACTACCATTCCATTCCTACTTCATTAGTCTCAATCACTGGTCCTTCATCCTGCCCTTCACACCCTCCAACTTTGTGGATAGCATTTATCAGGTTCCTGGCAATGAGATCTTGATTGTCTAAGTGTGTCACTCCCATTGAAGCACAGGCTACTTGACCTTCCTCTCTTGAGGTTTATCAACGTAAATGGAAAATCTTCTGGCTTTAATTGTTGAGTAGGGGTTTTCTCTGTCTCAGCCCACTGTACCTCATCTAACAGATTTCCTCACTTGACTGTTCGATCATGGGGCTTCTGTCTTTTTATAGCTGGTTATCAAACTCCTTCCATTTTTCCTGGTACCATTTGATGTTTTCCTCCCCTGCCATCTCTCTTTTATTGCATTCCTTCTGGATTAGTAGACCTCCTCATCGAGCAGATCTTCCAGTTTAGAATCTCAATATTGTTCTTCACTGCCTTACACTCCCTCCTTTTGAACCTTTATCATGATGTTCCATGTTTCACCTGTCCCATAAGACTTATTTCCTACTCATTTTAGCATGTGGGTGTCATTCGTCTGATATATTTGCCATCAACATTTCATGTACTTTGTTCCATTCCACATTTGTTCTCCTTTATCTGGATCAATCTTTTCTGCCCAAAACATCATTGGCTCATGAGCCATATTCTTTCTTTTCACTGATTTCACTTCTATCCATTTCCACCTTTATTACTGGTCTGATCCAGATATACTTCTATGTCCTGTATGTGCTCTTTATTGTTACATTGCCCGTACAACCTCCTTCAATGGTTCACATTCCCATCTTTTCAGTTCTTGGCAACATTCCTGTGACCTTTCTTCTTCTACTCTTATAAATTGGGTTCATCAACTGATTCATTTGGCATTTTCTTCCCTGTCTCCTTCCCAGAATATGTTCTAAGTGTCATTGCATCAGATCAGATACCTTACCTTTTCCCTGGTGTCTCACCTCTGTCATCCATTGGAGGAAATTCTTCAGTCGAGCATATAGACTAAACCTCATATGTTCACCTCCCACTATCTTTGTTGGTTAGCTATTTCTTACTTTCCAGGGTGTAGCTGTGTTTGGGTAAGTTATCTTTTATTTATAGGTTTCAGTGGTGAACGTTGCCTATCCAGGTATGCCTTTTATTCTCAAATCCACACTGTTGAGCCAAGATGTATACCCATGGACAGAAATGCACACTGTTCAGATAGGATGTTCCACAAAACTGCTAGTAGGTTTCCCCCTGATATATTTGCTTATAAATATGCCTATTCCAGACCATATTTACCAATGGACTTACCTGGGTAAAGCATAAGAGGATAACTGCCTATCCCAGCCTTCCATTCAATTCAATAAATCAGGGGCGGTCTGCTTTTCAATATAGGGTTTTCTTCATCATCCGTTGCACTGTTTCTGGTGTTGACATTCCTCCAGACTTTCCACTGCATTTTTTCCCCCCTTGTTCTTCTAGTGTAGTATTGGAGTTCTTGCCATTTTCCAGTTCCGAGCAGCTGGAGTGGTGGACCATGGAGGAGTCCTCCTGAATGTGACCACTTCTATTCAGTAGAGAGTAGAGCAGTGGTATTTTGCTGGTGTAGAGAGCATTCAATCCTCCAATCATGCACTCTATCTCCATGCAGTGGGTCCCAGAGGTTGATGTTGCACCCAACTTCTGTGCAGTTCTATCTTGAGAGTGAGGTTGCATATATTTTCTAGAGGTGATCCAATTCCATGCAGTGGTACCTGGAGGTTGGCATTGCACTCTAACTTCTGTGTGATCCTATCTGGATGATGATGTTGCACATATTTTTCATAAATAAGCTCCACCCCTATGTAGTGGGTCCTGAAGGTTGATGTTGTGCCCAACTTCTGTGCAGTTCTATCTGGAGGGTGAAGTTACGTATCTTTTACAGAAGTAATCCACTTCCATGCAGTTGGACCTGAAGGATGATACTGCTTTGGAGTAGATTTGTCACATTGCAGTTCACCCCTCTGATTGGGATCCCTCATCCTACCATCAACTGGATGTTGGCTCCCAGTGAGTGGTTTTGGATTGGAGCTGAGCCAATCAACATAAATACTCACACATGTGTTAGTTGTGTTTCCTCATCCTAACTCAATTTAGTAGTTGTACCTCATGATCTCCCCTTTGTATGATGGGTCCTGGAGGTTGATGTTGTGTCACATGTGCTCCAACTTTCACATGGTCCTTTCTGGGGGATGATCTTGTTTGGGCTGAAAGTTCTCCCTCTCACTCTCCACCTCAGATAGTTTTCACTACCTGAGGCTGATGGTGTGCAGTGGGGTACCAATCTGATTGAGTTGGTTTAATGTGACCCACTACATTGGCAAATCCCTTCATACCATCATTCAGATGTTGGGTTCCCGGATGTATGGGTGGTTGGGGATTTGTGAACATTTGACCTGTTTCATAGATCGGTTTAAAAAAAGTGTAAACTTCCATTCTACTCAACTTGAGGTGAAGACGGTGTGGACCTTCCTTCTACCATGGGTCGGAAGTTGTATTCCCTATGCTCCTTTGGTTTGGGCTGGAATTGGCCAGCCGCGTATGGTCGGTCTGATGCCCTCTTGGCACTCTTCACCAGTTTTAACTTTCCACATATTTTTGTCTGTAGATGGTTCTTCTACAGTTTTTCTTCAATGGGACTGAAATTCCAGTATATTGTGTTTCGGATTCAAACCCTCCCAATTTTTCTCTCTCTTTTGATTGTGCTCCAACCATTTTCTGTCCATATTTGCAACACCTATTTCCACACTGGGTGCAGAGTATACCTGGTAAAGAAAGTGGTGTGGTCTCCCATGAGTGTTCCTCTCCCAACCAGGATCACACTTCATAGATGTTCTTTGGATGCTTCTGAAGGATACTTCTTTCTATCCCTTACACCAATCCCTCCACCTGTTCAGTGTGGGATTCTAGCTATACTAGTGAGAGGAGAAAAAGTACCATATAAGAAGTTATTATTTTCCTATACTGAAAATATATTTCCAATAGGTAGTTACCTCTCTCACACACATCCCACCCTTCCTCCTCACTGAAAACTGGTGCTTCTTTTTCTGCCTAATCTTCAAGTGATAGTTTGGTAGAATCAAATACAGGGAGTCACATGCATCAGAAGAATGTGTCACACTCCTACTGATGGTGGGTTGTAGCATGATGTTTTACATGCAAGATGCAGTGAACCACATTGATTGTCGGGTATGTGAAAGTTCAAGGCTTGTGGCATGCAATAGAATTTTTGCACACAGAAGGCATATAAAGAAGCATTAAAATCATAATTAAGTTTTTGAAACATGTTGCTATTGGCTGTGGATTTCATGTTAACATCATTGATGGAATTTATAAGTTGTGTAACAAATTAAAAATTCTACAGTTTACTCACCTTGTAGGTACTAAGGTTTTCTGCCATATGTTCAAATGATTCTGTTAAGTGCTGTATAACTTTTTACCATATTTTAAACTTGATAATTTTCCTGATAGTCTCAAAAATGAAAACCTCATTCATGGATAAATGTGTTATTTTTAAAATTTCATGTAACTGTGGTGTAATGTATTTTGACCAAACATGTAAAAATTTAAATGTGATGAATGTAAATTAGTTTAAAAAAACAACAGAAAATTAAGGAATACGAAAGACAGAATATTTTCAAAATGTTTTCCTCTACATTTGTGTTTTTACAACAGACAGTTGTCATCCATTCCAGTTTACTCATCAGAAAATTAATGAGTTGCCACTAGCTGAGCATACAGTGAAAAATGTTTTTTCACACAGTGCTAATTGGAACCATGTGAAATTAATTAGTTATTTGAATAATAAATATCGACTAAATATATTAGTATCATTAAAAATATTTTAGAATTCAAAGTAACTTTTAAATAGAGAGTTGTAACCAAGGGTTGCATAAGTAGGTTGGTAGCACCATTTATGTTAATTGATTAATCATAGTTTTTTTGTTTTGTGTAAAAAGTAGGAAAGGTATATAATCAGAATAATGGGTTCTCCACTGCATTTTCCTTCTTAATAATTGTGGGTCTATAATCCATCAATGCATGTGGAAGTTGTTAGGTAAGGCCTGGCACCTTTAATAAGTAGTTTTATACAAGGATAGGGTAATTTGGTTTTAAAAAAAGGAATGCCTGTATGTAAGTACATCAACATGCAACATTATTTAGATGTATAAAGGTAACACTGTAGTTAATGAAGAGCTTAGTCTTCCAGTTATCCAAGATGAGATAAAGCATATTTGGATAAGTAGACTTCAAATTTAATAAACATTAGTGCATTATTATTTTTTTATGAGGAATGGAACTTTCATAGCTTTTTTGTTCATAAAATTTCACAAACATACTTAAACAGTGTAATTTACACATATTCCTGAGATGTATATTCTTTACTTAGTTATGTGCATTATGTCAGACAAGATAAGGGAATTACTACAAATATTTAATAATGCCAGTGTCACATTAAGCACTTTTAAGTTTGGACATGTTCACCTTCTCTTTTTTTAGATGCAAGTATAGCTAATGAGATATTGGTCAATATGTCCAAATGTCAGACAGGATGAACACTAGGTATCAAAACATTATTGCATAGCTATAATATTCATAACTGCCCAGTTTTTATACATAGTGAAACTCAACAAAATGTCTGATTTTTGTTATATAACAAACTGTTCTTTGAATCAGTACTTTTTGGGAAAGTCAAGGATGCTCTGTTGTATTTGATATTTTTTTAAAAAGAAAACTTAGATTTATGTTTAGTATTTTTAGCTGTGCCATGATCCTAGTGATATCTATATTCATTAAAACTTAGCTCTGCCTGGTCATGACAATATCTGGACTTTTTTTATATTATTTCAAATTTAGAAGAGGATTATAGTTCTTGTAACAACTAAGATACCATTCTTTTAATGAAAGGTATTCTACAAGGAACATCAGCTCTGCTGCTTTGTTTTGATGAGTCAGAGGTGCGAAAAATTATTCGGGAGTGCAAGAAAGTTTTAGATTACTTGGCAGTAGCTGAAGTTATCGAGTCGATGGATGACCTTGTTCAGTTTGTAAAGGTCAGATAATTTGTTTTATTCTTAGTATTTTCTTGGTTTAGTGTATATGAAAATGTAACATTTTTGTATTTTTAATGAAATTTTTAAATTTCAAAACTAATTACCGTAGTTAAATATTCTTTATAATTTTATTCCTCAGTATATACAATATATAATTCACTTATAAAGCTGTCTTTTTTTTATAAAGGAATAAAAAAGTCATTTAAATTATTAACATTAACCCACAACTAAGTTGTAAAGAAAATATCAGTTACAGACTAAATAATCTAACCTTTCTTTTTCTCTATTCTATGTACAAATATTACTTCGTACAATTCAAATAGTGTGATGATCTCATGAAGTATGGGAATTCATGAAACATGACACTACAAGCAGTACTGGCTGTAAATGATTTCTCCAAATACTGAAAATTAGAAGAATCATTAAAGATTTCTTTTTATAAAGTCTTATATTTTTGAAAGAAAGAATTTGCAGTTTATGTGAAAACATTTACTCAACTGTTGTACATGAAAATGTATAATATATGCAAATTAATACAAAGCCTATAACAAGCTGAAAATATTATTAATAGCATTCTGTGAGTTTCACCTAACAAACTTTCACAAGACAACTATATTAAAGCTACTGAATTTTTGTTGATAAAAATAAACATTACTTTATGACGTATAATATAACACTGAATATAACAGTGACTAGTTGAAGCTACTTGTAGGAACAGGTTATTGTAAGTTGCATGTTCTTAGATATTTAATAATCTGTATTTCCAAGCTATAAAAACACTTTCATTTATAAATCCCCTCAAGGTGGATTCCTGTATGTGGTGAGGAGATCTTCCATGGAAGTTTCTGTATTTTCAGTTTACCTCCTCTAAGATCTGAACATCCACCCATGTGTTTGCTGTGCGTGGTGACCCGTGAAGGGGAGGAGAGGATCCTGGTGATTGAGTGGTGTCTGGGGCACTGCAACACCTCACTTTGGCCTTGCATTCCTGTAGACAGTTGGCCTTGGTGTGTCCGATGCTGTTGTTTGGGTATAGTGCTCATGAAGCCCTGGCGTTGCTGCAGTGTCTTGTTTGGCATTGTAGTGTGTCCCCTCGAAGGACTCCATGGTGGCTGGGGTCAGTGGGCACTGAACCATTCTCCTTTTATTATGGATCCCCCAAATCCTCCAAAAAATAGAATAGTTAAAAACTCTGCACATTGAAGACTCTGATCATCAATCTTCAACTCATCTTGCTCCTGTACCTAGTTTTTGGATTTTGCATTTCTTGTCAGAAAAAGTTTTAGGACAAATGTCTCCCTTTTTTTATTCAGAAGAGATAAGAGGGGCTTGTTGGCACTCCAAAGTCAGTCAAGAAGCTACATTCTGGGACATCTTGATGGAATCATCTACACCAAAACACAGCGAACTTCTCTTGAAATCGAGGGGCCATTGGGGATATACCCATTGAGGTTACTCCCTATGCTACTTTGAAGTCCTCATGAGGAGTTATTGTTGAGAAGTATTTGAAGAACATCGCAAAGTTGGAGATCTTTGCTGGACATTCAAAGACATCTAGGACTTGTGCTTGTTGTGGTGGCAAAGACCATGATGCCTACGAATGTCAACTGGACCCTCACTGCATTAATTGTAGTGGTTCCCACCCTTCTTACTATCATTGTTGCCCTAAATGGGTGGAAGAGAAAGAGGTACAGTGTTTAAAACTGTTAATGATGTTTTTTACTCTGAGGCTCAGATATTATTGCTCCCTACTCCATCTCAGACATATGCTGCTGCACTATGCTTCACTGCTACAGTGAGAGTGCAGATGGACCTTTACGTGCCTTTGTCAGAGGCTTCCTCACATCATGTGAAGTGGCTTTTGCCCTCAATAGATAAGCAAGTTGACAAGTCCAAATCTACTCCTATCTCTGTCCCCTCCTTTGACCCCAGCTTTTGGTGTCTGTTCCAGTTCATCTTCTTTGGCCATCGAGATGCAGAATGATTATTCATTCATGCTCTCAGCCTAATGACAGGAATCTGCCCACTCAACCAATGACAGGATCCATGGAGGTCGTCAGACCTCCTTTTAGTAAAGAAAAATGGCATGGTCATAAACAGAAGGGTTCTCTGCCCAGTTCTCCTCTACCAAAGTGAAAATGGCCACTTTGATACAGTGGAACTGTCGAGATTTTTGTTCCAATATGGATGACATTAAGGCCTTGATCAATTCCAATAATTCCATGTCTCTCTCCTTTTGGCAGTTTTCTTTCTACTGGAATGACAGGTTGTGTGATGGATGAGTGCATGGAGGGGTGGCACATGCTGAGTTTGTACACTGAGTCCCATGAACCTCTTCTTCTCCTCTGCTGTTTGCAACTTTCTCTGCAGTATGCTACCAAGCTTCATTCCTTACCACAGCATCCCACCTGGTGGGCTTTGCTCTTTCAGAAGAGACAGTATGCAATTCCTACCTTTGGTTTTCGTATCCAGGCACAACTGGCTGAATTGGATATGGCATTGGATGACATTGCTGTTCCCAATGATCAGCCCATTCCACCATGGCTTTTTACTATCCTCGAATGTGACTTTTCCTTGAGTTATATGATGAAGGTGGATACTCCCAATTGGAACTACCATCTCCTCTATTTGCTGAACATCTTTTGAACTATTCTTCTGTTCCCGTTTATACGGTTGGTTCAAAATCAGGTGACTCTGTGGGCTCTGCCATGGTTTGCTGTGGCTTGGTGGTTGCTCACAGGATCCTCTCTACAGTTTCTGTGTTCAAGTTGTATGCCATTTCTCTTGCCCTGGATCATGTAGAAGCTATGCAGTACAGTGATTGCACTATTTACACTGACTCTCTTAGCTCTCTACTAGCCCTGGAATCACTTAATGTAAGTTCTCACCCTGTTCTTGTTGATATTCAACAACAACTGGCCCATTTTTCTGTATCTTCTGTTTCCATCCAGTTTTTTCTGGATACCTGGCCACGCCTTTATTCGCGGGAATGAGCTCGCTGACACCTCAGCTAAGTCCGTTCGCTCTGGTGCCTGTCCCATATATGGACTATGGTTCTGTATTTGCACCACTTGGCAGTCGACTTGGGGTGAGCAATGTCATAAAAAGCTTTTCCAGGTCAAACCTTCTGTTGCTCCTTGCCCATCTTGTTTACGTAAGGATCAGAAGGAGGAAGCTGTCCTGGCTAGGCTACACATTGTTCACAGTTTATAACTCATCATTTTCTTTTATCTGGTACTGACCCTCCAATGTGTAGCCTTTGTGAAACTCAAGTCATAATAGCCCACATTTTACTGTCGTTCCGTAGTTATGATCATGAGCGGCAGCACCATTTTTGACATATACTTTCTACAGGTTTACCCCTGATGTTGGACGGTGTCATTGTGGTTGGTGACAACGTCCAACTTGACTGTGTTTTTAGCTTTTTGCCTGTTTTAGGTCTTTTTAGTTCTATTTAAATGTTTTTACCTGCTTTTTGAACTTTGTTTAGTTTTTAACTTGATTTCTTTTTACATTTTATAATCTTTTACCTTTGAAATTTTTACCAGTTGTTTTGTGCAAATATCCCCATTCCTTTGTGCCTTAAAATGGCTGTCAACCAACCAAACAACCATTTATAAATATTTTTACAACACAGTGTTAAAAATTTTCAGACATGAACAATCTTCAGATGCTACCTCTATAGAAGCTAGAAGTGAGCTGGTAAAATGTATGTTAGATATTTAAATGAAATTTACAAAGAAAGAACAGCATGTGACGAGTAAAGCTTTTTTGAATAATATCATAGAAACTAATTGATTAATTGAAACTACCTTTAAATTGATTAATGTCGAACATATTATCAACTATTGTCACAAAGCTATGTCATGGGCTATCCATGTACTGCTACTGGGGGTATTGTAACTACATTTTAGCATTACAATATGTAGTTAGTTTTTCTTGTTTGCTTATCTTTGAATTAGCATTGCCTGGCGATTTGGGGGGGGGGTGCCTTGTGATATGATGATTCAAATTTCCACCAAACTTGCTTACCCTTTGTTATGACAAAGCTACTAATGCCACTGTCATTAATTTTGAACTGCTGAATAAAGAGAAGTCTAATTAAGTGTTAAACATTGTAACTTACTGTTTTTTACATTGTTTTATATGTCTAATTTCTAATTGGATGATTGTATTCTCGGTTGTTGTATGAGCAGGCACTGAATTAGGGGAGGGGTCCAGGAGATCTACTCCCCCTTATAATTTTTTTTCTTCAGAAATTAATAACTATTCTTTAATGTTTTATATGCAGATATGGATCTAATGGAGGGGCTAGTGGATCTGGGCTCCTCATTTTTTCCAGAAATTAATTATTTTTCGACTGTTGTAAGACGAGTCTTAGATCTGGATTCTAGAAAATAATAAACAGGACATTTTATACTATCATATAGTATCAGAAAGAACCATTAGATGTCAGTGATTATATTTGATTGCGTTATTAATCACCATAAAAACTTTTTCTTTTGCTTGTAGGGCAGAAGGGGAATCATATACCATGGTGTTGGGAATGCTGTACTAATTGATTATTTTAATGTAATTAATTGATGAGTTGATTCATTAAACAGTTTGCAAATACTACTACTTGCCCAGCTTTAGTGGTGACAATAAAATGTAAATAACATAAATTTTCATTCAGTATAATTAAAGAAATATTCAGAAATGAGTGTGTATGTGAATATGTATATATTTTCTTTATAGTTAATTTTACATGTCATTGCTATAATTTGAAATTTGAGTCATAATAATATAGATTTTTTTCATTCAAAATTTTCTTTTAAATTAAAAGTAATAAAGAGCTGTTTTTAAATATTTTTAAAGATATTTTTGTGTTGTTTGATTTATATATATATACACCTGGAAAAAAGTTAAGCACCCCCCATGTTTTTTCAAGTGATTTAGATTCGACGTTCTTGTGACTGATTATAAATTACCATTCAATCTAAACGTGTTTATCAAATGAA